GCCCCCTCCCCTGCCAGAATCATGAGTGGCCAGCGAAGTGTGGTGACAACATCAGGTGCTGAGTGTCCGAAAGAACAAGTGTCCAGGAGCCACTTCCTCTAGATTCTTCGACCAAAACCAGAGAAGGGGCAGGGGGTTGGAGTTCAGTTTCGTAGCTTGGACCCAGCAGCTGCCTGCTAAGCTTTCGATTCCCACTTGGGAGAACTTAATCCCCGAGTTTCACATCCCATTTCTGTGCTGTGCTCCGAACCCCTAGCTCAGCACCTCTTGCATATCATGTGCTCTTGTTGCTTGACAACTGTTACTCATCAGATCCCGTTTCTGGTTACACTTTGTTCTTTCTAACAGTATCTGCTTCCAGCTACCAAGCCTAGGTCTTCCTAGACTCTCCTTGGAGTCTAGGCTCTGCACTGTAGGAAGGACAGTTAACAGCCCAGCCAAGCAGAGAAGCTGCTACTCCACCACGGCCCCCCACCCCCACCCCCAGGTTAAGATTAGAGCTTAGAGTAACAGTAAAGATGGGACGCGGGGCCAACACCCGGCTCCCTGCCAGGGCAGTCCAACTATAGGCCTTCTGAAAATAGATACCACCTCATTTCCCACACCATACACACAAGCACAACAAAAACACACCCCAAACCACCAGCTGCTGCAAAAAGCTTTATTGTTTCCACTTGGTCCAAGGCTTGGGAGAGGGCTCCAGGGTGGTTAAAAAGCTGTCTCGTGGCTGCAGGGAGAGGCTGAGGCACAAACTCTGGCACCAGGGGGCTGTCAGAGGGGCCCCCTCAAAGGCTGCTGGTCTCCACCTAGTCGTGCTTGAGAGTGAGCCTCTCGAAGAGATACTCGCCCAGTCCAGCCTGGGGGCCGGCCAGCCTGCGGAGGTTAGTCAGGTGGTCGCCCATCTTCTTGATGAGTTTCACCTCCTCATCTAGGAAGTGGTTCTCCAGGAAGTCACAGAGCTGAGGGACAGAAGAGGAGAAAACGTTGGCCACTTACGCATCCACAGTGCGACAGATGGGGAAACGAGGCTCAAAGGGAAATTTGCCCAATTAAATGTGGATGAAAGGAGTACTTACATGGGGGTCTGCGCGGGCAGAACCCAGGGCGTGCAGATCCAAAAGGGCCTGGTTCAGGCTCTTCTCCAGAACCAGGGCAGCTTCCATGGCGTCCAGGGTTTTCCCCCACTCATCTTGGGACGGCTTCTGTACAGAGGACAGAGGGCTCAGGACTAGCTAAATAGACCGCAAAAGCGTCTAAGGGCTTGCCTCCATCACGCCCAGGCTCCTACAACCACCCATCCCAGGAGACCCCGTTGCGGTGTGGACAGCTACGTCTTCGGGAAAGTGCGCGCGCCTCCATTTTGCGCCGCACAAGAGTGAACACAATCGTCCAGAAGCCCACGCGGGGCCTACACCGCTACGGTCAAGGCGCTGGGCGCGCGCACGGACTACCGGGACCTGTAGTCCGCCGCCCGCACGCTACCCACCTGGACGTCCTGGAAGAGGGCGCGGCCGCCACGCTGGTTTTGCATCTTCAAGAGACGCTCGGCGCCCTCGCGCTTCTCCTCAGCCAACTCGCGGAAGAAGTGGCGCACGCCTTCCAGAGCCACATCGTCACGGTCGAAATAGAAGCCCTGCGGGATGGGAAGCGCGAAAAATGGTTAGCGGGAAGAAAGGCCGCCCAGGAGCCCGGACTCCGCCCTCCGACTACCCTACGGGACAAAGGCGGCCAGCGCGTGCGCAGAGGGCCGGAGGTGCGCACTTGGGGGCAACTTAGGCTGGGGGCGTCCTGGGGACCCTCACCAGAGAGAGGTAGGTGTAGGAGGCCCGCAGATGCATGTTGATCAGGCGGTTGACGGCGGCCTCCACCTCGGTGGAATAATTCTGACGAATCTGGGAGCTCATGGTTGATTGGTGGTAAGGGAAGCTCGAAACTGGCTGTTGGCTGGTCCCGGAGGCAGCAGGTGGCCAAGAAGATGGCTCCCAAGGTTGCGACTGGAAAAGAGGCTGGAGGGTGGTCGTTGGCTGGTTGGGGGGGCGTCCCTGGGTCTGTTCCGTCCAAACACTGTTGAAGCAAGAGACAGAGCCGCAGGACCGCCGGGCGCACTGATGGAAACCGAGGCCGAGGCGGCTTCTTTTATAGCGCGCGGGCCCTCGGGGGTGGGCCGTTCAGGGAGAGCGATCGGCCAATCCGCGGTGCTGGAAGGCGGGGCTTAGGACCAGCTATTGACCAATCCGAGCTGATAGGAGTCCCAGACCCCCGCCCAGAAGTAGGGAAGTCACGCGCCAGTAGCGCGAGGCTGTTGTGAAATGGGGAAGCGGAGGTGGGGGGTGGGTTGCGGGGTGTAAGGGTCCTGGGGCTGATTCTGGGACGTCGGGTTTGTGGGGGTCTCCCTGGTAGGTGGAAGGTTGATGGGGACACTGGGAGCCCTGGGAAATTATAACTCTGGAGTCTTGGGGTTGTCTCAGGAAAGTAGGTTGGATTCTGGGGTTGTCTCTTAGAGCATGGACCTTTCTGGCGCCCTGGAGGTTTCTCAGAGGTGCGGAGACCTCCAGATGACTGGGGTTTGCTCTGGAAGATAAGGGGTCCCCGGATCATTAAGAAGTTTGGAAGGCGGTGCGGTGAGATATTTCTGGAATCTTGGGGATCTCTCTGATAGATGGATTGAAAGGGGGGACCTGGAGCCCTGGGGTTCACTCAAGGATTGGGAATTTCTGTAGCACTAGAGCTCAGGTTGGAAGTCCTTATTTTCTGGAATCTTCCCCTGGGAGAGGGGTGGTGGTGGTGTGTGTGTCTTAATACTCATGAAGTGATCTTCAAGATTAAAAGGACAGTTCTAGAGCCTTGGGGGTCCTCCTGCACCCCCCCCCCATAGGGGACTGGGATATTTCTGGAAGCCTCATAAGGGATTTTCTAAGAGGTAGGAGGTCTGTGGAGCCTTTGAAAGATTGGGCCATTTGGAATACCTTGGGGCTATTTCAGGGGCCTGTTTTTCTGGAAGCTGACATGCGTAAGGTAAGGCTGAAATGACACTCAAGCTTTAGGGTCTCTCAGGCTGCTTTTCCTGGAGACTATTCTGAGAGCAGCCAGAGACTTGGAATTCTCTTTGGCTCTGAAGCAGTCCCTGTCTTGCTTAACACATGCTTCTTGAAGCTCCTAAAGAGAAGCCCTGGGTTCTGGGGAAACAAGGAGGGTCTGCAGACCTGTGGATGGGATGTGTCTTTAACCAATGCACATTTTTTAAGTCTGTCAGTTGCAGGCTGGTGTCTGGGAAGCAGAGCTGGCTCAAACCAGGACTCTGCCCTCAAGGAACTCCCCGTCCTAGAGGGGGGAAAAGGAGAGAAAGACAGGAACTTGACCCTATTTTCAGTGCCCTAATGAGGGTAGCCAGGGGGTTGGGCAGGGGAGCTGAAGCCACTGAGGCCTGCTTTACAGGGGGGGACACTCCAAACAGCCCAGGCAGGGGGGTGTCTCCTGACCCAGAGGTTGCTGGACCAGGCTGGTATCTGGGGTCCTTAAGGGGCACCTGGGCCCGTGGCCAGGGGAGCAGCCGTGCTGAGTCATGCTGAACTCAGCAGGAAGGGTCTCAGGCAGAGGCGGGGTGGGGCCACTGACTGACCTCGTGTCCATGGCAGACAGCGAACTGGCTGGGACCATGAGAACTAGGCCTGGCTGGGAACCAGGTCTGGCCCACTCTCCCAAGATGCGAGTGTGCTTTGTCTCCCGAGTCTTACAGTCTTTTTAGTTGCCTTGATGTTTTCCCTGGTCTCCTGCCTGTGGTCATACTGGCCCCTCTCTGGGCAGTTGACTCAGTCTCCCCTCACTGCTATCTTATCTGTCAGCTCTCCCCCTACTTGGTGTCTCCGGGGAGAGTCTCTGGGGGAGGGGCAGTTGCCCCAGGCACACAGTCACAATGGGGCCTGAGTTACTCATTCACCAAATTTCATACCTCAGCCTAAAGACCTTTAGCCTCCAGTAGGCCCCGCTGGCAGAGAGGTGGCTTCTTCAGAAGTGCTCACTGGTAGAGGGAGAGGAAGTGGGGAGACAAAAACGATCTGAAAAAGGACTGAGATCTTGGGGGTGAGGGGTAGATCATGGGATGGGGGAAAACAAGAGGTCCAGAGAGACAGAGGACAGAAAGACCTAGAGAGGAGGGGGAAGAGACCCAGAGAGAAGGTACAACAGACCCTATGAGCAAGTGATCTTAATCTCTATTTCCTTTTCTGTGTCCAATCTACAAGGCAGCTTTCCAGCATCCTCACTAGGGCCTGCTTTCCTGGAGGGTCCCACCCAGTTACTGGGCCAGCCCCTCCCCACGCAACAGGTGTCCAGCCCTGTCCCCTCAGGCCACACAGCACTGGCTCAGGCCTTGTCCTCTCAGAACCCCCGATTCCAGCCTTCTGACCTCCAGTAGCTTCTCCACAGGGCTCTAGAGCCCTCTCGTGGTCCAGTAAGTCCTCCCAAGGCCTCCCATCTCTCCCCTCCCCCCCTCCCGCCCCCATTCTCCACCTCAGTAAGTGCAACTTCCTCTGGTCCCATGTGGTGGAAGCTTCCAAGCCCTAGTTCTCCAGGGCCTGCTGCACTGTTCTCTTTCCCTAAAGCCCCAGGCTCCACTGCTTGGCTTGGCCTTGCCCAGTGCTGCCTCCAACACAAGACCGTAGGCTTCCACACAGTGATCTTCAGTTCCCTCAGGACTGCATGCTCCTGGAGGGCAGAGTGGAGACCTAACTCCTCACTAACCCAGAGGGCACTAGGCTCCTTCGAAAAAGATTTGTCAGCACCTGAAGCCTGGTCTCCTGTGACAGCCAAGGAGTGGGCTCCCAGTGATTCAGACTCTGAAGTATGGCCTGAAAGAGGTTTATTGCCCCCCTAGACCACTCCTCCCCATGCCCCCCCACCCCAATAATTACAAAAGTAAGAAAAATGCCCATGACCCCCAATCCCCACCCCTCCCGGAAAAATGCCATAATTTATGCAGAAAAGACACAGTCCAAGGCAGCTGGTGGCCTCAGCCCATCTTTTTCCAGATGGTGAGTGATGCAGTGAGCACTCCAGCCACGAAGATGGTCACTGTCTGCCACGTGGGTGTCCCAAAGTATGAGAGCAGGCCGTCCTGTGGACAGGGACATCAGTCACTTCAGCAGCTGGGCCAAGGGGCAGCCGCCCTTGGGCCAGCACAGGAGGAAATCAGGGAGTGAAGTGGTCATAGGGCATGAGTGGGGGCAAGAGCCTAAGATGAATGGATATCAAACAGCTGGCGTCAAAGGGTTATCAAAAAACTTGAGGGACTCCAGAGGAAATGGAGGCACCAGGAAGGACAGAAGGTACTAGTTAGGTCAGAGGTCACTGAGAGGTCAGAGGTCACCAGGAGGTCAGGGGTCACCAACAGGTCAGAGGATAGCAGACAAATTAGGAGTTGATCAGACATGTGAGGAAATGCATTACAGACCCCATTTGATGATCCAGAGTCAGAGAGGGCAACACTGGTGGGCTCGGGAAGACCCAGGGGTCTCGGAGGAGTGGGGGAGGGGTTAGGGGCCTCACCCAACCACCCTGGTCCTGGATCCAGCCCAGCAGCCGCTCTCGAAGGAAGTCCAGTGTCCAGCCCATAATGGTCTTGATCAGCTCGGGCACCTTGGTACACAGGGCCTGCAGGGAGTAGGGTGGGCCTTAGGGACTGAGCCTTGTCCCCCACTGTCTGGGGACAGTGGCCCCAAGCCTCCTTTCTCAACTCTGCCTCCCCTCCTGCCCCACTGCAGTCTCCTTCCACTCATACTCAGAATGAGCTTCATAAATTATAAACTGGATCTTGTCGCGGTCAACTGCCCTGCTCACATACTTTCCATGGCTCCCCAGGTGGTAAAGACCAAAAGGCGTATCTTAGCCCACAAGGCCCTGTATGAAGGCTCTGACTTGATCGCATTCCAATTTTCCACTTCTTTTCTGTGTCTCATTTACCTTCTTCCATATCTTCATTCCCAGCAACTTTTCCCTGCCTCAGGACCTTTGTACATGCTGATTCTTCTACCTAAACATGCTTCAAGCAAGCAAATTTTTACTCCTCCCTCAAAGCTCTCATGTCAGGTCTAATGTCAATTTCTCCAGAGAGGGCTTTTCTGACCTTCAGACTAGATAGGACCAGACATACCTCCATGCCCATGACTCTCCAACTCCCTGAACTTCCCCTTCCCACCCTTTATTTATCTGGCTGCTTTCCTCCCGATTGTCCCCAGCACCTTACACAGCCCCACCATCACTCTGACTGCTGTCCCCCTCACCTCCAACATTCAAGCCCCATCAGCTCAATCTGGCAAAGACATTAAGAAATCTACTCCCGGGGGCGCCTGGGTGGCTCAGTCAGTTAAGCGGCTGCCTTCGGCTCAGGTCATGATCCCAGGGTCCTGGGATAGAGCCCCGCATAGGGCTCTCTGCTCAGCGGGAAGCCTGCTTCTCCCTCTCCCACTCCCCCTGCTTGTGTTCCCTCTCTCGCTGTCTCTCTCTCTGTCAAATAAATAAAATCTTTAAAAAATAATAATAATAAAAAAGAAATCTACTCCCTGCCTCCACTGCTACCAACAGAGGCCAGGTCAGTCATCAGTCACCGGAACTACTACAGGTGCCTCCTCCCAGCTTCCCAGCTTTTGCCCCGTATCTTTTTTCCTACGCACAATGGCCCCCCAAAATTGTTAGGCTTCCGTTCCCCTGATATTTTAAAGTTAAAAGGATTTCATAGTGAACAGCCATATGCTTACAGCCTAGATCATACAATTAACATTTTGCTTCCTAGAACAATCCTTTAAATTTATAAATCAGGTCACCTCACTCCTGTTTAAAACCAGCCAGTCACTCCCCTCTCATTCATGGCAAAGTTAACATCTTTAACATCGATTGTGGGGGGCCCTCACAAGACCCCTTGCAATCTGCCCTCAGCGCATCAGCCTTGGTCCTGCCTCATGGCCTTTGCACTTGCTGTGGCCACCACCAGATGCCTTTCCCCCTGATCTTCATAGATCACTGCAACGTTGGCTTTAATGTCACTCGCTCTTAGAAGTTGTTCCGACCGCTTTGCATTACATCATCCTAGTTTACTTCTCTCAGCACCCATTGGACAATGTGAGCTCCAAGAGAGCAGGGCTCCAGCCTGCTGTTTGGTGCTGCATCTCGGGTGTCGAGTACAGGTCGGGCACATAGTAGGCCCAATAAATGCCGCATGAATAAATGAAGGAGCAAACAACCAGCCCATAGCTCTCTCCATTCCCTTTGGTGAGTGGGCTGCCACAGGGGTTGACCTCACAACCCCTAGGTCCTCGTAGGTCTGAATGGCGCTTCCCTGGGCTCACTGCCCTGCAGCCGCCCACCTTGAGCACCAGTTTGCTGGCAAAGTAGAAGAGGGCAACAACCCGGCCCCAGTTGAAGTTGCCATCGGAAAACATGTCAGCTGCCACTCGGAAAAAGACCTCACGGGGGGAGTCTGTGTCCACGGCTGCGATCATCCTGCAGGAAAAGAGGAAAGCCAGTGCTGGGGAGGAAAGATCAGGCAGAATGTGGAGACCCTGGCATCTACCTCATACCAAAGACAAGGAAACTGAGGCCCAAGCCAGGCTGACGTGAAAGAGAAAGGGCCAACATGGGGGAAAGGGACAAGATGGACACTTAGGAATGTGGGGAAAATGACTCCCTCAGGGAGGGTTTCGATATTCTAAAAGAAGGAAGGGCTGAGAGTCCAGAGTGCTGAGCAGAGTGGGGGCTGGACGGGCTGGACCCATGGGATGAGGGAGAAGGGGACCAGTGGCTGGACTCCTGGGGCTCTGGGGCCACACCTCTGTAATTCCATGTTACTGTCCAGTTCATCTCCGATGCGCTTGAGACACTCGCTGAGCTTCTTGGTGGATGCATCCTGGGGCACCTGCTCCAGGGCCAGCTCGGGTGTCTCTCCCCCCATTCGCCCTGCTCGATCTTGGATGAAACTAGAGTGGGAATGGAGTGTAGGGGGTGCAGAATCAGAATGGGGCATCACTCCTCAAATCCGCTTGGCAATAATCACACCTCAAACTCACCCCTGAAGCAAAAGGGCCCCTGTCTTCATGATCTGCTCAGAGCTGGTGGGCCCTAGAGGAGAAAGGAGGGAAGAGGTGCCTGGACTCTTGGGTTCTAGGGGATCCAGGGAACCAGGGTGGCTCATGATCTCTGAGGGAGGACAACACTAGGGGGTCCTGCATTTCTGGGTTCCTGGTAGATACAGTGGCTAGGGGCCCGGACAACTGAGTCCCTAATGGAGAAAAAGGCAGGGAGCTTAGGCCTCTAACCTACGTTCTTCCGGCGGAGGCGGCTTAGAGAACACTTCACACATCCAGACCCCTGGCCTGAGGGGACAGATGAGAGACCCGCCCCTCCCACCAGGAAGTGGTGCCGGCGACAAGCCCGGGCCTGCCCCGGGGGCTTGGATTCTGGGGTCTCCAGCTTCTCGGCGGTCCGAGAGCACCAGACAGGAAGGAATCGGGGCACGGAGGCCAGAGAGCCGGGAACCCCCGGGGAGGGAGGGGGCTGGAAGCTGGCAGCGCCCGATCCGGGAGTTTCTGCCCCGGAGTGCTTGGAGATCGCACGGCCCCAGACCGGCAGGACGGATCGTGGGGCCGGCCGGCGAGGGGGCTCGCCCTCCTCCCGCCCGTCTGCCTCCCGCCTCACCCCCGCCTCTGGGTTGCTCCCCGGACCCGTCCATCACCGCCGCTCCCGCCGCCGCCTCTCGCCGGGTCCGCCCGGGCGGCCGCAGCACGCCCCTGGTCACGTGACCGCCCACTGAGCGTGCGTCCTCTCACGTGACCGCCCCGCAAAATGGCGGCTGCCCGCTGTCGCCCCGCAGGGCCGTGAGGTCACGTGACCGCACCGGCCTCTCCGTCGGGGGGGGGGCTCGGCCCCTATCACGTGATCGCCCGAGCCGTACTTCCCTATACGAACCGGTCGTGGCGCCCTTCTACCGGCCACCCGTTCCATGGCTGCTCTAACTTTTTTTTTTTTTTTTAAGATTTTATTTATTTATTTGAGACAGAGAGAATGAGACAGAGAGAGCACGAGATGGGGGAGGGTCAGAGGCAGAAGCAGGCTCCCCGCCGAGCAGGGAGCCCGATGCGGGACTCGATCCAGGGACTCCAGGATCATGACCTGAGCCGAAGGCAGTCGCTTAACCAACTGAGCCACCCAGGCGCCCTGGCAGCTCTAACTTTCATTCATTAGTTTGTGCGGCATTTTCGGAAGTTTCAGGTAGGATTTGAGCCCTCCCCAGGGCAGAAGGAACATCGGAGGCCAAAATTATCATTCACTGAAGCAGGACGTTTCAGATGATTAAAGTCTGTGAGTTGTTTTTGTGGAAATAGAAGGAATATAAAGTTCAAAAAGTGGCAAAACGAATCTATGCTGATAGATTGGCAGGGTATGAAAGGGGAAGGACCCCGAGACAGGCACCTGTGTGTGGGGGGGGGGGGGTGCTGCAATGAGCTGTATCTTGATCTAGGTGATGATTACTTGGGTATACACCTGTTGAAAATTCATGCAACTGTACATAGGAAATGCGCACTTTATTGCATGGAAATTATTATATCTCTTTAAAAAAAAAAGAAGAAGAAAATCAGATTAGAAAATAGGCTGGGGTCAGATAATGAAGGGTGGGGCATATAAGAGAAGGGATCTAGGTCCCAAGGGTCCTCCCCCTGAGAGCCATAGCAATAGAAGATCATAGGAGTCTTAATACATCAGCCTAACACCACGAGGAACATAGTCTGACAAAGTCAAGTTTATTGACCCATTGTGATGATGGAGACCACACAAGAGAGAAACCATGGAGCATTTTGACAAACAAAGGAAAAGGTAGAGTTACTATAGGATTTGCAGGAAAGATAGAATTTAGGTGACAACTAAATGATAGGCTCAAAGCAAGTCAGGGTCAACATCAGGTGCAGACTGTGAAGAGGAACCAGGGTCTTGTACCCTTGGAAACTACAAGGTGAATCTAGATGTGGAGTATTGGGTCCAGAAAGCCTTTATGTGAAGCTCTGCACCTAGATTGGAAATTGAAGCTGCTACTCTGTTTCAAATGATTACAGGCAAGAGTGGGATGTTTCATTTTTACTGATAGATTTTTCAACACTTGATGATTTTAGGGAACAAAGTTTCTCTGTGAGAAAGAAAGCATGTCCTTGGGGGAAATAGTGTTTCTTATTAACTTTGAAGCTAACTTTATCTGTGCCTGTTATTCCAGCCCAATGAATTAGCCCTTCCTTTGCCTTAATTACAGAGAAGAGAAGAAAGGGCTTTTAATGCAGCTACAGACCTCTAAACAGTACAGCCGTTGAGTAATGGGGAGAAAACTTCTTAGCTAGTTCTGAAGTCAAAACTGTTTATAGTAACAAAGATGCTACATTGGAACTGTGAAGCCCACCTCCAAGATGTCCCCCGACGATTTTAGTCTCCAGGTATTCATGCCCCTGTGTCGTCCCCTCCCACACCGAAGAGGGCTGAGCAGCGTGATCAATAGGATATAGTGGAAATAAATGAGAGAGTGTGACTTCCAAAGTTAGGTCGTGAAAGTTACTGCAGCTTCTGTTTTGCTCTCTCTTGGATCACTTGCTTTAGAGGAAGCCAGCCACCATGTTGTAAGGACACTCAAGCAGTCATCGTCCAGAGAAACACACGTGGTGAAGAACCAAGTCCGTCAGCCTTGTGAGTGAACCACTTTGTAAACACAAGCTCGGGCTCTAGTCAAGCCTTCAGATGACAACACTCCCTACCAATGTCCTGACTGCAGCCTCACGAGAGACCCTGAGCCAGAAGCACTCTGCTAAGCCACTCATAGATTTCCAACCTTCAGAAATTGTGTGAGATAATATTTATTGTTGTTTTAAGCTGTGACGCTTGGGAGCAATTCATTTCACAGTGATAGAAAACTAAGACATCAAGGATAATTATGACCTATTTACAGATGAGGAAACTGAGGCCCAGAGAAGGAGCTGAACTTTCCAAAGTTGCACAGGAGTTCTCATGGGTGCTCTCAGGTGTCCAGCTTGACAGTTGTGTTGTTTGCACAAGGGCTTTCTTACTCAGCCCCATTCATAGGTCCTGCCTCTTCCATGTCCTCCCAGACTCCAGTCCCTCCCCTCTAGTCCATCCCCCACATGGACTTAGAAGGGTCTTACTATAACAAGAGCTGATCATGGTCCTCCCCACTCATAGCTCTCCCATGGCTCACTGGTAATGAAAAATCTCTTACACATTTTTTTAAAAGATTTATTTATTTATTTTAGAGAGAGAGAGAGAAATAGCATGGGCAGGAGGAGGGAAAGGGAGAATCTTCGAGCAGACACCCCGTTGAGCAGGGAGTCCAATACAGGGCCCCACGCAGGACCCTGATATCATGACCTGAGCTGAAACTTAAGAGTTGGCTGCTTAACTGACTGAGCCACCCAGACGCCCCTGTCTTACACATTATTACAAGACAGTGAAGCTGGGGAGGCTGCGTGACTCAGTTGGTTAAGTGTCTGCCTTTGGCTCAAGTCATGATCCCAGGGTCCTTGGATTGAGCCCTGGGTCGGGGCTCCCTGTTCAGTGGGGAATCTGCCTCTCCCTCTCCCTCTGCCCCCCCCCCCGTGCTCTCTCTCTTTTTTTCTCCCCTGCTCTCTCTCAGATAAATAAAGTCTTTTTTTTTTTTTAAGATTTTATTTATTTATTTGACAGAGACACAGTGAGAGAGGGAGCACAAGCAGGGGGAGTGGGAGAGGGAGAAGCAGGCTTCCCACCGAGCAGGGAGCCTGATGCAGGGCTTGATCCCAGGACCCTGGGATCATGACCCGAGCCGAAGGCAGACGCTTAACGACTGAGCCACCCAGGCACCCCTCAGATAAATAAAATCTTAAAACAAAAAAGGACACGGGATGCCTGGGTGGCTCAGTCGGTTAAGTGTCTGCCTTCAGCTTGGGTCATGATCCCGGGGTCCTGGGATTGAGTTCTGCGTTGGGCTCCCTGCTAAGCGGGGAGCCTTCTTCTCCCTTTTCCTGCCACTCCCCCTGCTTGTTCTCTCTCTGTTAAATAAATAAATACTAAATCTTAAAAAAAAAAAAAAAGGACAATGAAACTAATAGAATCTGCTACTTATAGTACATCCAGAGAGGAGAGAAAGAAACTGATATTTTAAAACTCTTCTAACAAAGAGAAATATAACTTACAGATATTTTAAAGTCATAGATTTATATTACATGATATCAGTTATAGGCGGAATCTGGATGTGGCTTACCTGGGTCCCCTGTTTCACATTCTCTCCCAAGGCTATCAGAAAGGTGTCAGCTGGGGTTCTGGTCTCATCCAAAGTTTCAACTGGGGAAGGATCCATTTCCAAGCATGCTTACATGGTTATTGGGAAGACTCAGTTCCTTGAGATATGTTGGACTGAGGACCTCAGTTCCTTGCTGGCTGCTGGACACAGGCTGTCCTCACTTCTTTATCATGGGATCTCTTCATAGGGCAGTTCACAGCCTGGCAGCTGGCTGCATCACAGTGAGCAAGCAGGAGTGCAAGCAGGACTGAAGTCAGTCTATTATCACTTAGTCTCAGAAGGGACATCCCATCACTTTTGCCTTTACCAGATCACTAGATCCAGCACACCCACAGGAGAGGGGAGACAGAAGGACATGAAGACCAGGAAGTAGAGGTCATTGAGAGCCACCATAGAAACCAGTTGCCACACCAGGAAAAGAGGAACCCTTTATGTTATGGGTGCTAGGTTATTCAGGAGCAGTGGGCCCTGGTGGCTGACCTAGGAAATTTCTCATGTCTTTCTTCTATCCTTCTAGCCTGTGACTCCACCATCTGCAAACATGGCTTCCATCTCATGGTGTAAGACGGACACGCCAATGCCCAACACCACGTCTCTACTCCAGTACCAGGTAGGATTTGGGGGTTCCAGTTTTGCTTAGATATGTTAAAAATGAATCCATCTCTCATGATGTAAAAGTTGTGATAGCAGGTGTTCCGGTTAGCTATTGCTGTGTAACAAATCATCCCAGAGCTTAACAGCTTCAAATCACAGGAATCATCTTATTATCTTACACAGGCCTGTGGGTAATGGAATTGGGGAAGGCTTAGCTGGGTAGTTCCAGCTTGGGGTCGCTCAGTGTTTTCAGTTGGACAGGAGCTGGAGCTGGAACAGTAGAGTCCGTAGTGGTCAGGACCTGCTGATTGAGCATCGCTATCTTCGTGGAGTCTCTAGGCTTTCCATGTGGTTTCTGTGTGGGTCGGTTCAGTCTTTCTTGTGGCTCGGTGGCTTCAGGACAGCTGGACTGCTGACATCATGGCTGAAGGTTTCAAGAGTATTTCAGCTCACAAGAAAGACATTGCATTGCCTTGCCCGACAACCTCACAAGTCATGGGGCTTGACCTTCGGCCATGTTGCAGCGGCTACGATTGAGTCATGAGCACACTCAGTTTTAAGAGGAGAGGAACTAGAGGAACTCCAACTCTTCATGGGGGAAGTGAGTGGGGGCAGGAGAGATCTTTGGAAAATAGTAAGGTGGCAGACCAATTCAGCTGCTTTAGGAAAAGTTAACATAACTGTGACTTAAACATCGATTAAGCTTATTGACCTCTCACGTAAAGTCTAAGAATATGCAATACCAAGCGATATGAACATACGGAGTGAAGTTCCCGTGTCAGGGAGTGTGTGCTTAACTTTCTATGTCAACTTGGCTGGGCCACAGAGTATCCAGAAATCTGATCTTACATTTTCTGGGTGTTTCTGTGAGGGTGTTTTGGGTGAGCTTAACATTTACATTGGTGGGCGCCTGGGTGGCTCAGTCGTTAAGCGTCTGCCTTCAGCTCAGGTCATGATCCCAGGGTCCTGGGATCGAGTCCCACATCGGGCTCCCTGCTCCACGGGAAGCCTGCTTCTCCCTCTCCCACTCCCCCTGCTTGTGTTCCTGCTCTCACTATGTCTCTCTCTGTCAAATAAATAAATAAAATCTTTAAAAAAAAAACAACATTTACATTGGTGACTTAGTAAAGCAAACTATGTTCCCTCATGCGGATGAGCCCATCCAATCAGGTGAAGTCCTGAATAGAACAAAAAGGCCGACCCTCCTCAGAGTAAAAAAGAATTCTTTCTGCCCGACTGCCTCTGAACTGGGACATCCGCTTTCTTCCTACCTTCTGGCTCACACTGAAACATCAGCTCTTCCTGCATCTCAAGCTGCAGGCCTTCTGATGAGAAGTACACCATCAGCTCTCCTGGTACTCAGGCCTTTGGACTTGAGACTAGAACTAAACATTGGCTCTCCTGGGTCTCCAGGTTGCCAACTCACCCTGCAGACCTCAGGGCCTGCCCACCTCCAAGGTCGTGTCTTTCTTCTATCCTTCTAGCTTGTGACTCCACCATCTGCAAACATGGCTTCCATCTCATGGTGTAAGACGGACACGCCAATGCCCAACACCACGTCTCTACTCCAGTACCAGGAAGGGAGAGGTTGAAAGGGAGACCATCCTCTTTGCCTAAAAAAAGCCATAACTCAGATGCTGCATACCTCCCATTGGCCAGAACCTAGTTGCAAGGGGGCCTGGGAAATGTAGTCTTTAGCTGGGCAGCCGTACATCCAGTGAAAACTTTCGGATCGTAAGTGAATGATTACAGAGACATTAGCCATGTTTGCCACACAAAAGATGGAAACCAAGCAAGCAGAGGACTGAGACCAGTGTAGTGATAGCTTAATGATATATAATGGCACTTGGAATAGAAAATAATAGAAAACTCATTTTACTGATGTCTAGTCTGTCTCATTTGCTCAAAGTGAGAATTATTAGTGTAAACCCAATGTATCCTCTCTATCTTCTAGAACCTGGTAGAATTGGACTTCCTGGACTCTCTCTCTGGCTCATCAAGGTTGTGTGGCTAGTTTTTGCGAATGAATTACAAGAGATTATGTATGTTGTTTATGGGCTAGGGCATTTAAGTTTTGGTACCAGAGCCTCCAAAGCTTTCTTCCCTTGGCCACGGTGATTGGCAGGACTCCAGATTTTAGTGGCTCTGTCAGCCTAGATACCAGGTATATAGATCTCAGCTAATACATAACTCCAGTGAAACGTAAACCTGTTATGCTAGGTTGAGATTTGAGGGCTGTTTGTTACTGCAGCATAACCTAACCTACACAAACTATTACAGAAAAATATGAAAGTTAGACCTTGCTTGCAGCACAGAGCTAACCCTAATTGGCTGGCCAACCACCCACATATAGCCCCCCTCCAACTGCTTGTAATTTATTACGTTTAGTGGGACGGACATCCTAAACCTGCCACACAGAGGGGCATATGACCCAGGCTTTGCCAATAAGGCCATTGAAACTGAAGGCAAGGGTGCCTGGGTGGCTCAGTTGGTTAAGTGACTGCCTTTGGCTCAGGTCATGATCCCGGAGTCCCGGGATCGAGTCCCACGTAGGGCTCCCTGCTCAGCAGGGAGTCTGCTTCTCCCTCTGACCCTACCCCCTCTTGGGCTCTCTCTCTCACTCTCTCTCTCTCTCTCTCTCTCAGATAAATAAATAAAATCTTAAAAAAAAAAAGAAAGCAAAGGCAAGGGCTGCCTGGGTGGCTCAGTTAGTTAAGCATCTGCCTTCGGCTCAGGTCATGATCCTGGGGTCCTGGGATTCAAGCCCCATGTTGGGCTCCCTGCTCAGTGGGGAGCCGGCCTCTCTCTCTCTCAAATAAATAAATAAAATCTTAAAAAAATAACAAAAAGAAAGAAACTGAAGACAAATCCCTTCTTTCCAGTTGAAATGACTTTGGTACCATAATGGAGGCCTGGAGCTTCTAGAGACCAGTTTGGGAAAGGCCTGACCTCAAAGTGAAGGGCCATCAGTTAACATTTGTTGAGAATGTACCGTGCACCGGAGGCTGTTCATATACCATCTCATTTAATCCTCACCAGAGGGTGGTTAGTACTGTCTCTCCTCTGCTAATGAGGAAACAGGGGCAGGGAGAGGCTGCAGGAGAGTGCAGTTAGGGACACACCTCCTACCCACATGCAGTTCCTTGCCCAGGGTCACACAGGGTATGGTAGGCAAACCAAGGATCTGCCCATAGGTGTCTGCTCCAAGAACTTGTGAGAAATGTGGTCCTGACCCTGCCTTCCTCCCCCTCCCCACATCCTTCTACCAAATTTATTCTCTGGTGACCCCTTTGGTGACTTCTTTGCTCCAGCTCCCACCGAACCACCATTGCCAAGATCTCTGTGGGAACCATGTCTTTATTCACGGCATGCATCAGCGTTTGTCTTGGGGGAAGGTGACTCCGATGGCCTTCCTTACTTCTTCAAGGATGTCAGCCAGGAGTTCAGTTTCCGCCAGGGGTATCACAGGACTTTCCTTCAGGCCTGGGGAGAGTACAGTTAGGGACCCCTCCTACTCACACCTCCAAGATCAAAAGAACTACCATTCCCAGAATCCCAAGAGGGAGAGTAATGCATGGTTCAGGCAGATGGATGCCCCAGGCGGTCCTGGGAATTGTAGTTCTAGACAGCTACTTAGAGTGGCTGAGGGTTGGGGAGTGGCCCACCTCCACTACCAGGTTTGCCCCTCCACCCTGCCACTCTCTCACCCATCCTCCACATCCTTACCCTTTCGCAGGCACTCCCGGACATGCTTGGCCTCATAAACCGTGCCTGCTCCATTTGTAAAATTGAATTCCTTGCTTGGGGTTGGGGGCAGCGGGAACTCCTCATGCTCTCCCTTCACCACCAGCTCTGTTGGGCACCAGAAGGGATTGAGGATCTGCGGGGAGAGAAGAGGTGGCTACTGGGGGCTCCAGCCTAATGATATTTGGGGGCCTCCGTCTCACACCTGGCAGCTAGGGGCTGGTAGGAAGACTTGCCCCCCTCACCCCCATTGCTGAGGATTCGCTTCTCAGCAGCAGAACGGTCACAATAGAAGCTTGTCCATCTCCCCAGGGGCAAACCCCTCTCTAACCTGATGCTTAGACCTCATGAGGACAGCTTATCTTCACATGTGTGTGAATCTCCCTTGCAAGGAGGAGACTTAGACAATCCAGTACCTTCTTACCTAGTTGGAGACTTGATTCTTTTTTTGGCCCCAGAGCCCTGGGAAGCCTACAATATTCCCATACCCAAGTCTAGGCCAAACTGGAAATAGAGATGTGCCCAGGCAAGGTGCAAATTCTGCAGTTCAAGCCTGGGGCAAGGTCCAAATTCTTCTGCTAAGAACAGGATTTCTTTCTAGCAACAGGGCTCCATGAAGCCCAATGAAGCCGCTCTTTGGTAATGCCTGGATCCAGTCCTGGAAGCAATTCCAAAGGCCACAGCTGCCCCCTAGGAATGGTTCATAAGAACCGGTTTCTCCCCAGGCCTAAGGATTTTTGACAGACCAGGAAGTTCACCCTCAGGAAGGAGCCTGGAGGTCCAAACCCATCCCTTGTCCTGGTGGTTGATGATGGATTCCTTAGCAATGCTGGGGGGAAAGGCTGCTTCAGCCCATAGCCAGCTCCAACAACCACAACTGGTCCACTCCTGTTGTGAGGGGCCACGGTTCCCAGCTTGGCCAGTCGTGCCCCACCTGGGCCATGCCCTTGGTACCGCTCACAAAGGCCATATTGGAGAGCTGAGCAGAGATGCTGCAGGTGAAGCTGGCGTGGATCTCTCCTGGGTACTGGAGGAGCATGGTGACAGTGTCATCCACACCTGGGGAAGGCACAGGACAGGAGACCGCCTGGTCTCAAATCCTGCCTATGGAACGTTGGGCAAGAGATCTCGTCTCTAACACAGCAGTGAAAAAAGAATGAAGCACTAAAAACACGTGTGCATGGGGCGCCTGGGCGGCTCAGCCGGTTAAGTGTCCGCCTTCGGCTCAGGTCATGATCCCAGGGTCCTGGGATCGAGCCCTGCATCGGGCTCCCTGCTCAGCGGGAGGCCTGCTTCTCCCTCTCCCACCTCGCCCTGCTTGTGTTCCCTCTCTCGCTGTGTCTCTCTCTGTCAAATAAATAAATAAAATCTTTAAAAAAACAAAACAGAACACACGTGTAGGGGTACCTGGGGAGCTCAGTTGGTTAAGAGTCTGACTCGATTTTGGCTCAGGTCGTGATCTCAGGGTCGAGGCTTTGAGCCCTGCATAGAGTTCTGCGCTCAGTGGGGCATCTGCTTGAAGATTCTCTCCCTCTCCCCTTCCCCCCACTCATGAGCTCTCTCTCTCATTCTCTCTCAAATAAATAAATCTTTAAAAAGAGAGAGAGAGAGAGAGAGAAAGAGACTTAACCTCTCAGAGCCTCCGTTTCATCCCTCTTTAACCTGTTGCATTGGTTTGTGAGAATCAGTTTCCTCAGCTCTAAAATGGGGATAATAGAACCTGTCTCATACATTGTTACAGGATTACACCTAGTGATGTAAAATGCACAAAGCACTTGGAAGGCTATTTAGATGATAATAAAGGCTATATAAGCATTAGTTAAACATTAAGTTAAATATAGCATGTAAAGTACTAGCCTGGTTCTGGAACACATCGTGCGTGCCCTCGATGGAAGAACCTACCCACCTAATTCTTTTGCTTTCAGATAAGCCCGAGTTCCTTTTTTTTTTTTTAAAGATTAATTTATTTCAGGGGCGCCTGGGTGGCTCAGTTGGTTAAGCGACTGCCTTCGGCTCAGGTCATGATCCTGGAGTCCCGGGATCGAGTCCTGCATCGGGCTCCCTGCTCGGCAGGGAGTCTGCTTCTCCCTCTGACCCTCCCCCCTCTCATGTGCTCTCTCTCTCATTCTCTCTCTCAAATAAATAAATAAAATCTTTAAAAAAAAAAGATTAATTTCAGAGAGAAGGAGGGGGGAGAGAAAGAGAGAGAGGGCATGAGCTAGAGAGGCAGAGGGAGACGGAGAGAGAGAACCTGATGCAGGGCTCTATCCCATGACTCTGAGAACATGGGCCCAGGTGCCCCAAGTTCTTATCCTGGATCTGCTCTGTGAGCCTGGATAAGTCACTCTCTCCCCCAGTTTCCTCATCTACAATATATCTAGCTCAGGGGAATCATCCCTCTAATAACCCTAACGCAGAGGAAGCACTTGATAAAGAAAATCTGTTTTTGGAGTTACTGTTTAGCCTAAAAGTTGGCCAGATGTTAGACTGAGAAGATTTTCTAAAGTGTGACATTCACCCGGGTATATTTTCCTGGTGATTCATTGCCTTCTGTGGGGCCATTTGCAGAGATGGCCACGGGAATTCCTCTCATCCCGCTGTGAGCAACCCTTGGCAATATGTCTTTGCAGCTCCTTCCATCAAGAGGACCCACCTCTGAAATCTGAGCTGGCTTTAAAACAGTAGCAAACAAGGTAGAGGCAAAAGTTTGAAAAATGCTTGCACCCTAGGGCCTGCTTTTTGCTGCACCTAAAACTTAGCCCACAGTGTGAATGAGGCCAAACTAGCCAGATGAAAAAAAAAAAAAGTGACTTCATTAGCTCTTTATGACAACTCCAGTACCCCTTTCTTTCTTTCTCTCTCTCTATTCCCAATGTGGGGCTCAAACTCACAACCCCGAGATCAAGAGTCACAGGCTCTACTGACTAAGCCAGCCACGTGCCTCTATGACAACCCTGTTATTAACATTTTACCAGTAACTAAGACTCAGAGATGTTGAGTCCCTTGGCTAAAATCACACAGCAAATCCCAGGACAGAGCCTGCCCACACTCTCAACTCTGATCCTCTCTGACTTCAGGCAGGAAGTTCCTACAGCTGTCTAACCTGATTCTCATGGGCTAGGAGACTTATCCCCAGCTCAGGGCTCCCAGTGAGGGAGGATCACTCTTTTTTTTTTTTTTTAAAGATTTTATTTATTTATTTGAGAGAGAGAGCATGAGAGGGGGGAGGGTCAGAGGGAGAAGCAGACTCCCCGCCGAGCAGGGAGCCTGATGTGGGACTCGATCCCAGGTCTCCAGGATCATGACCTGAGCCGAAGGCAGTCGCCCAACCAACTGAGCCACCCAGGCGCCCCGAGGGAGGATCACTCTTACCATCATCATATAGTCCAGGATAGACAATACCTGTTTCATGGAGTCTTCCCACGGCTGAAATCTTTTCTGGCTTCTGCCCACCAAAGACCATAGAGATGAACTGGATGCAGTAGATGCCAATGTCCAGCAGGGCACCACCAGCCTGGGCTCTGTCTACGGCCCGGGGTACGTGGGTGAGGTCCTTCCCAAATTCTGCCCGAGCCACCCGGAGATCCCCCAGAATTCCCTGAGACACAGCCGACCTCAGAGCCTGTACAGCAAGAAAGAAGCAGGTCCAGATGGCCTGCACACCACAGAGGGGAGAAAGAAGGACAGTGGAAAAGGAAAGAAAGACGTCAGGACCAAGGAGTTAACCAATCACTTCCTCTCCCTTCTGGGGAGGGAGTACTGTTGCTCTCCACTCTCCACACAGGAGCCCTCCCCCTCCCTTCCCCAGCCCTGCTCAGTCCCCAGGTTGTGTCCTGCCCCTGAGTCCCTTTGCCCTCTCCTCTCCTCTCCATTCCCATGGCCCCAACTCTGGCCTTAGTCCTTTCTTCTCTGGACCATTCCCCCAGTCTCCCAATGTTATGGGCTCAATTGTGTTTCCACCAAATTCAGGTTGAGGTCCTAACCGCCCATTCCGCCCCCCTCCACACCTCCCAGTGTGGAGATGGGGTTTTTAAAGAGGTAGTTAGGTTAAAATGAAGTCATTATAGCGGGCCCTAATCCAACAGGAAGAGATGAGGACAGTGACACAGAGGAAGGAGCCAAGGAGGGAGGCCTTAGGAGAAACCAGCACTGCTGACACCTTGATCGCAGACTTCTAGCTTCCAGAAGTAGGAGAAAATAAATCTCTGTTGTTTAAGTCACCCAGTCTGTGGTGGTACTTTGTTATGGCATCCCTGGCAAACTAATACCTGCGGTCTCCCCACTCCAGACCACCCTCCACGTGGCCCCAGAGGCAACTTTCCTTCTCCTAGAGTTGACCCTGTCTCAAATTACTTGTCCAAGATCACAGAGCTTGGAACTGGTGAGATGGAGTCTAGGATCCTCTGACTCTAAAGCCTGTCCAAGGTCAAGTTCACACTAAATACATGAGATCTGCCCGGTCTTGTTTTCTTTAAGTCTTAACTCTGGGGGCGCTTGGGTGGCTCAGATGGTTAAGCGTCTGCCTTCAGCTAAGGTCATGATCCCAGGTTCCTGGGATCGAGCCCCACATCGGGCTCCTGGCTCAGCGAGGAGCCTGCTTCTCCCTCTCCCTCTGCCTCTCTCCCTGCTCATGCTTTCTCTCTCTCTGTATCTCTGTGTCTCAAATGAATAAATAAAATCTTAAAAAAAAAAAAAAAACGATCTTAATTCTGCTTTCCCCCTCGGGCCCATTTACCTGTGCAATGTACTTTCCCTTTAAGGCTCAGCTCAGTCCCTACCTGTGGGAAACTTCCTTGACTATCCCTCACACTGGGCTGATGCCTCTGTGTTCTGTCAACTGCCCAGTACTATATCCATGAAAGTTTGTGCAGCTGGGCATTGTGATAGCCCATTTCTGTGACTGTAGCAGACCTTGAGCTCGTTGAAGACTGAGCCTGTGTCTTACCCATTATGAATCCCCAGTTCCTAGGGTTGGATCTGGAACACAACGGGGGCCAATAAAAAACAAGGAAGCAATAAATTCAGAACCTTGGCACCGCCGAAGCACAGTGGGAACCAGAAGCACTGAGTAACCATAGTAAATCTTGACGATCTCCTCCTTGGGCACAGAGAACTTTGCAGCCTGGGAGCAATACTGGGCACGGGACAGCCAGCTAGGACGTGGGGAAGTAAGAGGCAGCTGTTGAACTACTGGCAGAACCTACAGCAAGGTAGCACTTAAGAACCACAATACTCCTTAATGTGAAAATAGCTTCTAGAGGTCATTTGGCAGCCATTTTGTTTTTATTTTTATTTATTTTTTAAAAAGAATTTATTTATGAACAGAGAGAGACACAGCAAGAGAGGGAACAAAAGCAGAGGGAGTGGGAGAGGGAGAAGCAGGCTTCCCGCAGAGCAGGGAGCCCGATGCGGGGCTCGATCCCAGGACCCTGGGATCATGACCTGAGCTGAAGGCGGACGCTTAACGACTGAGCCACGCAGGCGCCCGGGCAGCAATTTTAATTACTGGCACTCTGCCAACTGTCAGAGTTCCCCTATATGTAGCCATGTCTGATAAGGGGAAAAGCAAAGGCAGGATGACCTTGAGAATTGCCCTGGTCCTTTTGACCACTATCCTTGGAAATCCACCCAAACTCTGCCTATTGCTATTCTGTGCCACTTTCTTTCTTTCTTTCTTTCTTTTTTTTTTTAAAGATTTTATTTATTTATTTGACAGAGAGAGACACAGCAAGAGAGGGAACACAAGCAGGCAGAGGGAGAGGGAGAAGCAGGCTTCCCGCAGAGCAGGGAGCCCGATGCGGGGCTCGATCCCAGGACCCCGGGACCATGACCTGAGCCGAAGGCAGACGCTTAACGACTGAGCCACCCAGGCGCCACCTCTGTGCCACTTTCACTCTGAAAAGCTGACAAAGTATCTTTCAGGCGGTCATGTTTGCTAAGCAATGCCTCTCACTCGATGTTGCTAGCGGATTTCAACTACATCCTGGAAAACACACCAACCCCACCCAGTTCACTCTGTGGCCATCTTTGTTCTTGACAAACCCTTCTGTTGTGTTCCTCCAAAAAAAAAGTCCACTGGCAACCATGTTTAGTCATGGCAAGAAGCGCTACGTTGGAGGTCGGTGGGTCCCCTCCACCCTCACCTCCATAAGAAAGAGGCCTCGGGATCGGGCTTCCGCAACCATTTCGCGAACTTCCGCAGCGTTCACGCCCATGGGCTTCTCGCACAGGACGGCCTTGCCCGCTGCCAGGCATAGCAACACTGCGGCCTTGTGCTGGGGGTGCTGGGTGCCAATGTAGGCCACCTCTAGATTGGAAGGTAGGAGGTCGAGCGATCAGCAGCCCCGCCCACCCCAGCCCCGCCCTCCGGGACCCGCCCACAACTTAGAGGCCCCGCCTCCAGCATCCTAGGAACTCAGGTCCCACCGACCAAGGACAGTCGTGGGGAGCCTGTTTCTCCTTCTCTCTGCAGCTCCCGCTGCTTGTGCTCCCGTGCTCTCTCTCTCTCAAATAAATGAATAAATAAATAAATAAAAATCTTAAAAAAACACAAAACCTAAACGGGCTCACTTACAAATTCAGGCCCCTCCCAAACCGCCGAGGCCTGGTTTCTAAACGCAATTTCATACCAGACTGTGAATCCCAGACCAAAGCCGTTCCTACAGTTCTGATTGCCAGCCGCCGATCCTTCCAGAAGCACACAGGGATTGGACCATCCCGCGGAGCCTTGTTTATCCTACGGAGCAGGCTAGAGGCAGCGCCGCGGTGGCCTCGGCTGCCCTTGCCACTCACCCACATTCGGGTCTTTGGCCAGCTCCTCATAGGACCCATAGGCCTTGGGGATGTCATGTTTCCTCGCAAACTCCTTCACCCGGCTACCGCCACAACCTGGAGGGACGCTAGGGTCAGACTTGCGCGGCTGGGGCAGGTGGATGGGAGGGACGTTGATGGAGAAAGCCCCAGGATAACAAAAATTATGTCCCCCAGGACGGAGGCGAAGGGAAGGGGTCCTGGGGGAGGGCGTGTCGGGGGCCCGACACGGGTCCTGAAAAAGAGAGATCTGGGGCAAGCGATTATTAAATCCCCTAATACCTCAATGTCTTCTCTTCGAAGTAGTTCAGAACAAAACCCTCCCAAACTTGACGAAACCCGAGTTCACAGGACAGAAGTGTGGAGAAAGGAGTAGGGAACCCTGGCTCCCTCCTCCCTCAGACCCAGGAGTCCCGGCTCCCCGGCCTGCTCTTCCACAGGATTCCGGAGGGAGGGTGGACCTGGTGCTCGGAGCGAGGCAGCGTTCGCAGCACGGCCGTGAAGTCGCTGGAGATAAGGCCGACTGACACGATGCCCCAGCGAAGCGCCATCGCCAAAACCTGGGATCCCAAAGTCTTGCCACCTGCGCCTGGAAATTAAAGACCTGACGCCCCGCCCAGCCGGGGGCGTGGTCATTTCTCCGCCCCCATTGCAGCTACGCCACTTCTCATTGGCCAGTAGGCCTGCGCGTCCCTTCAGTTCAGTCCCAATGCAAAGGAGGTTATTTAAATCTAGCATCCCGGGGCGCCTGGGTGGCTCAGTCGGTTAAGTGACTGCTTTCGGCTCAGGTCATGATCCCAGGGTCCCGGGATCGAGTCCCGCATCGGGCTCCCTGCTCGGCGGGAAGCCTGCTTCTCCCTCTGCCTCTGCCTGCCACTCACCCTGCTTGTGCTCTCTCTCTCTGTCAAATAAATAAATAAAATATTAAAATAAAAATAAATAAATAAATCTAGCATCCCCATTGGAAGGGCGCACCATTGGCTCCGCTTTTTTGGGGGGATGGGTGGGACCAGAAAGACTTCATTCGGCGCTAATGGCGACTTCTAACCACGTGACTTCCCCCCCCCCCCCTTTTTGAATCTCTAAGCCCAACGGAGGGGTTGATGTCCCCACCGGACCTTAAGAGTTGCATGCCCTGGGGCGCCTGGGTGGCTCAGTCGTTAAGCGTCTGCCTTCGGCTCAGGTCATGATCTCAGGGTCCTGGGATCGAGCCCCGCATCTGGCTCCCTGCTCGGCGGGAAACCTGCTTCTCTCTCTACCACTCCCCCTGCTTGTGTTCCCTATCTCGCTGTGTCTCTATCTGTCAAAAAAAAAAAAAAAAAAGAAAAAAAGAGTTGCGTGCTCTACCCAGTAGCTCGCCAGGCCGCCCAGGAGAGGATGGGGAGGCTTGCTTTCTTGTCACCTTCGGAGCTGGCCCCCTTCCTCCTTCCCCCAACTCTTTTGCTCCGAAAGCCGCGCACCCTTAGGAATTGTCCAGAGGGAGGGACAAAATAGTAATAGCAAACATCATAATTACGAATATTTCTAGAACGCCTGTCGTGGCCAGGCCCCCAGCTCCGTGCTTGACTTTCCTCATTTCTAATTTCTCACCACAGATCTGCAAATTAGGTTTCTCTTGCTCCCTGTTTACAGAGGGAGAAACCATCCCAGAGAGCCATGGTCGTTTTTTGAAAGTCTCACAGCCAGGACGTGAAGACTTGCAAACTGGCTGCTTCCAAAGAGCATGGTTTTAGAAACCAGGCTGTTCTGCTTCTTAAAAGTGCTGGTGCCAGGCTGACTGGTTCCCAGCCCCTCCTTGCCACTGCCTGGCTGTATTGCTTTGCACAAAGGGTTTCCTTGTCAGAGCCTCCCTCACCTTCCTATTCTGGAAAACCGAGGTCGCAATGGCATCTACCTGTTTAAGAGGATTAACTGAGCTCCAGAGCCTATGATGTAAAATATAGCAAATGATTGTTCCTCTAAGTCAATTGGCAAAGGGCTGGCCAACTTTACCCACAGCAAATCTGTGCACTTCTCTTCCCTTGTAGATGTTCAGTTAAGATCTGAGTTTCAGGGGCACCTGGGTGGCTCAGTTGGCTAAATGGCTGCCTTTCACTCAGGTCATGATCTCAGAGTCCTGGGATCCAGCCCAGCATTGGGGCAGCAGGGAGCCCGCTTCTCCCTCTCCCTCTGCCCCTACCCCTTGCTTGTGTACTCTCTCAAATAAATAAAATCTTTTTTTAAAAAAGATTTTATTTCTTTATTTGACAGAGACACAGCGAGAGAGGGAACACAGCAGGGGGAGTGGGAGAGGGAGAAGCAGGCTCCCCGCAGAGCAGGGAGCCCGATGCGGGGCTCCATCCCAGGACCCTGGGATCATGACCTGAGCCGAAGGCAGACGCTTAACGACTGAGCCACCCAGGCGCCCAAAATCTTTTTTAAAGAAGGCCTGAGTTTCACTCACAGAGCTTCCAGGTTCACACAAACTGCTGAATAAAAATATTAAGGGGTTGCGATGAGGACACAATATCACTGCTGTGAAGAAAAAGAAAAAAAGATGGGGAAGAAAGTCTTTGAAACATTAGTTCACCATCTTCCCAGGTTGCCACCTTCCTGAAAAAAGCAACTTTCCCTTTCCCACCATCATTTGTCTACCGAGTATTGATTTTCCAATGGCAAGTAGCAGGTTCTCTGCCTGGTAAGAGTAGTGATAAAGAGCAGACTAGCGGTGTGCAGGAGTTAAGGTTTGGAAGAGTGCTGTTACCCTTAATGGGGTAACAGGCACGAGTTTCCGTGGATGGTTGAAACAGTTCTGTATCCTGAATGTGGCGATGGATACTCAAATCTTCACATTGGATAAAGTCTCACAGAACTGTATACTAGAAATTTTTAAGGTGCATGAAAATCTGAGTAAATGCTGGTGAAATCCAAATCAGGTCTGTACCAGATTAAAGAATGTAGCGATGTTAGTTCCTGGTTTTGACAATGCACTATATTTACCTAAGATATCATCACAGGGTGGGCTGGCGGGTGTGTGTGGGGGCAAGCTAGGCATAGGGTACAAAGGACCTCTCTGTACTATTTTTGTAAGTTCTTAAACAGTTTCAGGATGAAATGTGATGACTTAAAATTGTTGGCAGTGAGTTCGTGTACCCAGAGAAATCATTTTGCAATATCCGGTAAAGTAAAAAAGGAGGGTGTCTCATGATCCAGCGATTTCTATTGTGGGTAGAAGATACATACCCTTGAGAAACTCTCAAATGTGTGCCTGGGAGGACATATGTAAGGACATTTATTGCAACTTTGGCTGTGATAGCTCAAAATCGGGAAGAGCCATCAGTAGAAAAACTCGTGAGCCAACAGTGGCAAATTCTAGCAATAGGATACCACATAGCAAGGAAAATGGATGAACTAATTCCACACTCTTTATACATGGAATCTCAAAAACTTAAACTTCAGTGGGAAAAAAAAAAAACCCAAACCACTCAAGTGACATCACCGGGATATAGTATACACACTGAACTGTGATGGCTGTGTTTAATTCATAATCAAGTCAGGAAAATCACTGACCTGGGACGAGAATCCTGTGTGCAGAAGGTCTGACACTGAACTAGAGGTGGATCACCAGCGTTAAGCACCTGATAGCATTTCTGGGACCTGGAGTGAGAGCCAAGGGATTAACAGAGGGCGTAAAATGATGTAGAGTGTAGAAGCAGAGCATCAGTGAATATACAGGAGCCCACTCTCTTGACGTCTGCTGGCAAGGGCTGCTTGGCTGGGCTCAGGTGGCCACACTGGGGATCTGTAACCTGAGAAAGACACCCGCTTCTTAGCTCTTACTCTCTTTATGGAGACAAGCAAAACAGTGTTGTTGTTGGAAGTGTGGCAAATCCAGTCTGAGCTTGGGCACCAGCACTTTCTCCAGGACTTGCAGGAAACATCATGTGCAGACCTTGGAGGACGCTGAAATCATGGCAAGAGGGGAAGACCCTGTGCAGCCAGCTCCTAGCCAGGAATTCCAGAAAGAGCCTCCAGGCTCATTCCACAGATAGTCCTCCCCGACAGAACACAGATATTTATTGAGCATCTAATTTGTTCTAGGTCCTGAGGACACATCAGAAATGAGACAGACACTTTCTCTGCCCTCATATCAGCTCTCAGTGCTTAGTTATGTTCTAAGAACTGAAAACAGGCCAGCATGGTTGAAGGAAAAAGATGGTGGGCCAGTAGGATGGAAGATGGGGCTGGGGAGGCAGGCAGGGGAGGGGAGTCATGAAGGGTTTGGAGAAGACACGGAAGGGTTTTCAGCAGGAGCAGCAGGGACAACAAAGATCTAATTTGGGCAGCTTCTGGTTTCAGCGCCCACCATTGGCATGACTTGCATATTCACTGAGCGAACATTTTTACTTTTGACTTGGTCATGTACTGGGTGATGCTGGACGCCCAGAGAGGAACCTCACTCCGCTCCCTGCCACCCTCTAGTGAGCAAAAAAGACACAAGCTGTGGTAGGCACAGTAAGGCCCCCCTCCCAAAGACGTCCACGCTCTAATCACCAGAACTCGTGACTATGCGACCTTACATGGTAAAAGGGACTTTGCAGATATGATTGCTAAGGCTCTTGAGATGGAGAGATTATCCTGGATTTTGTGGTGGGCTCGTTGCAATTACAAAAGTCCTTAGGGGAGGAAAGCAGGAAACTCAATCCGAGCAGATGGTTCAACAAAGGAGAGTGGGGGATTTGAAAATGCTGTGCTGCTGGCTTTGAAGCTGGAGGAAGGGGCCGTTAGCCTGGGAATGCGGGTGCCTCCAGAAGCTGGGAAAACAACGAAACAGATTTTCCCCTCGAACCTCCAGGGTCCTGAGTTCCAGCCCCAGATAGAGCTTACTTAAAAAAAGAAAAGAAGTCAGAGTCTGGAACCCAGGTTGGGAGAGGCGGGGAATGTGAAAGATAAACCTAGACGGGGGGAGCGCCTGGGTGGCTCAGTTGTTAAGCGTCTGCCTTTGGCTCAGGTCATGATCCCAGGGTCCTGGGATCGAGCCCTGCATCGGGCTCCCTGCTCAGCGGGAAGCCTGCTTCTCTCTCTCCCACTCCCCCCCTGCTTGTGCTCTCTCTCTCTCTCTGTCAAATAAATAAATAAAATCTTAAAAAAAAAAAAAAGGCTAGAGGGATCAACTGGACCATCTGGGTAGGGTCAAGGAGCTCACCCTGCCAGCGGCGAGGTGAAGGCAACAGAGTGATGAATAGAGTCATATTCAAGCGTTAGAAAAACACGTATGAAGGGCGCCTGGGTGGCTCAGTTGGTGAAGCGACTGCCTTCGGCTCAGGTCATGATCCCAGGGTCGTGGGATCGAGCCCCGCATCGGGCTCCCTGCTCTGCGGGAAGCCTGCTTCTCCCTCTCCCACTCCCCCTGCTTGTGTTCCTGCTCTCGCTGTCTCTGTCTCTGTCAAATAAATAAATAAAATCTTAAAAAAAAAAAAAAAGAAAAACACGTATGAAATTAAAGGTCACACATAAACTGTCAACCACGTAATGGATGGGTGGACAGGCAGGGAGCAGAGCATTTATTCATTAATTCATTAAAAACAATTTTTTTTTTCAACATAAGCTCTACGCTCAACATGGGGCGTGAACTTGCGACCCCGAGATAAAGGGTCCCATGCTCTACTGACTGAGCCGGCCAGGCGCCCCTCATTGACTCATTCACCAGAATTTTTGCAGCACAGAGTCAGTGCCAAAAAGGACTTCGCATGATGCTTCAGAGCATGAACTGGATCCAGCTGGCCAGGGTTCGGATCCCAGCTCTGCCACTTACTAGCTGTGCGCTCTCAGGCAAGTGACTTGGCTTCTCTGATTCGCCTCATCTGTAGAATGAGGTTGATGATGATAATCGCCTCACCGTGTTTATGTGAAGATGAAATGGATTGTTATTTATAATATATAACATGCTTGGCATGGCCCCTGCCACGTTCCAAGTGCTATAGAACCGTTCGTGGCTGTGTATTAGTGTCTCGTTGCTTCTCTAAGAAATGACCATTGTTCAGGTCACCAGGCCTGGCTTCAGCCACCCACCGCGTCCTCCCCCTCCCCTATTGCTGTTGCCATGAGGTTGGGGGCCAGTGATCACCCCCTGGGTGCCACCTTTCACCTGGGGTGAAGACCCTTACTTTTGGGGTGTGTTTGGGCTTCTGCAGGCCCTGGATCTTACCAGCAGGCCAGAGAAAGAGGCCTCAGTGGGTCTGTAACAGTCACCCAGCTGCTCTTTGACCCATCTCTCCACATCAGTCTCCAACTCTGCAGTTTCCTCTTTCTGGAAGGGAGCTGCTCCGAGATCCACTCCTCCAGGTTGAGGCGCTTCCGTAGCTCCTTGCGATCATACTTGACTTTGACTCTTCCCCTGATGCCTTAGTCCGTGCTGCCAGAGGCCTCGCTGGCAGCCCAAGGGGGCCTCTGAAAGTAGACGCGGGTCGCTGGGCCACAGGCTACCAATGCCTGGCCCGGGGTCGCTGTCCGCCCCGGCAGCCACGGGGGCCAAATACGCGCCTCGGGCCCCTCCCTGCACTGCGGCGTCCTCCAGTAGGCCCACCGGCTGGCTCAGGGCCACTGGCTTGGGCTCCGCCAGAGCCGTGCGGGACCCCTCCCAGCAGATCCGCCTGCCCTCGGTGCCCGCCGGCTTTGTGTCTCCCCAGATAATTTTTCTTTTCTTTTTTTTTTTTTTAAGATTTTATTTACTTATTTGAGACAGAGAGAATGAGAGACAGAGAGCACGAGAGGGAGGAGGGTCAGAGGGAGAAGCAGACTCCCCGCCGAGCAGGGAGCCCGATGCGGGACTCGATCCAGGGACTCCAGGATCATGACCTGAGCCGAAGGCAGTCGCTTAACCAACTGAGCCACCCAGGCGCCCTCCCCAGATAATTTTTATCGTCTGAGCCTCCTTTACACTTCCTCCTCTTTGTGGGTGCCAAACCAGACCTACCCCATGCCCAGTGGTGTGTTGGTAAATGGGCTCTGGCACGGAGAGGTAGGAGGAGGTTCTGATTTGTCGCCTCTGCCAATGTCCTTCGTCAGCTGTTGGTGCAGTAGGTGTGACATCTGGAGCAGCTGCAGCCACTCTGGGACCACAGCAGGAGGATATGGGAGAAAGTGGTTCCCTGGAATCACCCGACCTTGGGATGTCTTGTGTTGGGAGATAATACTTTTTTTCTTTACTAAACCTTT